AATGTCTTGTCTGTCGTATTCAATAATATGTGCCTGAAAGAAGGGTTAGTGCCTAAATACACAAATATATACACACACACACACACACACACACACACTCATATATATATATATATATATATGTGTGTGTGTGTGTGTGTGTGTGTGTGTATATAAATATAAATAAATATATATATGTATAATTATTTATATATTATATGCGCGGTACTTATTAGAAAGCGCTCACTATCAGAGATAGAGCTAACATATTTCAGTTTGTCTGACGATCGCTAACCCAGGGTCACAAACTCACATCTATATATATATATATATATATATATATATATATATATATATATATAAAATATAAATATAGATAAATTTGGGATTTGCTAATCAAATCAATCTCGAGGGAAAAAAGGTTTTAAAAAAGAAAGAGCTACAAACATGAACTTCTGCCGACAAAAAATTGCATAGATGCAGGTCTGAAGCCCAAAGAAAAAAACCCCGATACGAGTAACAACTAACTAACAAAAGAGCTATATATAAATTTCTAAGACTATAGAATACAGGTAGAGCTCAATGTCAAAGACAGAGAAAGAGTATAAATATAAAAGGCTCAAGCACTACAAATATTCCATGGTTATTACTCATTACTTATATATATATATATATATATATATATATATATATATATATATATATATATATATATATATATATATATATGAGGTATATTTAGGCAAAGAAATTCGATTACAAATTACCGGCAAAATTTGTTTGTTTGATTTGTTATTGTATTTTTACAATTTTTGAATAAGTTATTGAGTATTAGATTCGAAATTGTGGTTAAATTGTCCCAAGTACATATTGTGTAACAAGAAAAAAAATCAACAACGCAAACGTCGACAGATATCCCTTTTTGGGGGCACAAGATAAACGCATTCAGCTTTTTCCAAGATACGCTACCATAATGATAATATTAGTGATCAGTATGAATATTTCCAAAAGGATATAAATCAGAGAGAGGTCTATGTCTGAGACAGATCAATAATTATTATAAAACACCCAGACACCAGCACATATGATATTTAATTTCGTGATGAAGGTTTCGTACAGAAGCAACCACACTTTTTAAAGGGCCGAATACAGAAACCTGGTGCACTACGTACCACAAGGTCCCCAAACGACCCTCCGCAGGATTTTGAATTCAGAATTGTCCTTCTCCTATTTGCCATCCAAGGCAATAGAACCCAGTGTGTCCTCCTATTTACCCATAGCTGGAGAGAGAAGAAGAGGATTATTACCTGAATGTGAATGTAATGGATTCGACTGTCTCTCCGATTCCTCAATCCGAGACGCTGTCGACTACTCCACCGTGCCTCCCATGTGTAATCATATATATAATCATATATATATATATATATATATATATATATAGGGTGTCCATAAATATATATATATTTTAAAAAAATTATAACATTATTTGTATTTGCGATAGAAATAATCTGTAAAAAATGTTATAAATCTTAATGTACGTAGTTTTAAGTATAGTTATTGAATAATTCTTTACCATAAAATTTGCAACAACTGCTAGATGAGTAAAATAAAAATTTTCTTTTATACAGTATCAATTTGATCCGTGGCTTCAACTGAGGAAAAAGTAAACTGTGTCATAGAAAGTTTAGAATTAAAAACAATAAAGAACCAGCTCATAAGAACACTATTGCTAAATAGATGTAAAAATTTAAAGAGACTGGCTCCGTGGAGGACATGGGAAACTTAAATAAAATTTCAATAAAACCTTAAAAAATATAGATTTACTTCTTCCTAATCCTTTTTAAAACCTTAGGAAATGTAGGTTTACTTCTTTCTTATCCTTTTTAAAAATTATTTTTATAGCAAATACAAATAAAGTTATAAGTTTTTTAAAGTGCACACGAACTTTATGGACGGACACTATATATATATATATATATATATATATATATATATATATATATATATATATATATATATATATATATATATATATATATATATATACTGCTGTTTTTGAAGCAGCAGGATTTCTTTTAAAGATATTTTATTAGACAGAATAGACAAATTGCGCCTATTATATTTTTGAATATCTTTTTTTCTAATTGACGAACTGATTTCTCATATTTCAGAAAAGATTGTATGACAGTTCGTGGTGGTTTATTTAATTTGGTTCTGGACAGTGACTGGAATCCATTGCAAACTTGAAATATTAAAGAAATTAAATTAAGTGTTAATAATTGCTTCTTATTATTAATCCCAGTATACAGAATTCAATCCTTCAGTTGTTCATGAAATAAATTATAAACGAATTTTGTATTCATGAAATATAACTGAATGCATTTTTAAGTATGATATGATTACTAAGTAATTATGATTATTATATTGCTCTGTTTATTACATTGAGCTCGCTTTGGCTTCATATCTTCCTTGGAATTATCCCTACCAATTATCAATGGGCATATATATATATATATATATATATATATATATATATATATATATATATATATATATATCAATTATGTGATGCAGTTCAATTTATATTACAATGAATCATTCATCCAAACTTTGAAATTTTTTTTTGAAAAATTACTCTATTTATTAAACAATTTAGTTCATGTCACATTGCCATATTAGTAAAAAAAAAAACATACTCTCTTAAATTTTCAAAAAATTCAACCTTAGCTTTGCGACTGCACGCTACAAAAGTTTTATTCGTTAACAATAACACATTTAAAAAAAAAACAACAACAAAAAAACATATATCGATTCGCATTTAATTTTTTTGTCTCTGATGCTACCTGAATTTTACCAAAAACAAAATAATTTCCATGCCTGAAGATGACTGAATGTGCAGTTGAGAGTACTGGCGTATTAAACCTTAAACAGCTTATAATTATTAAAACAAGTATCATAACATTCATCGAGTGATTTGTAGGTTAATGCAACTTTAAAATTTTGTTATCGAAGGGATTTCGCCATTTTATATCATTAACTTTACTAATCACCTTTTTGTATGAATGATCCATTGTAATATATATATATATATATGATCCATTGTAATAATATATATATATATATATATATATATATATATATATATATATATATATATATATATGGAGTAACTGCCAACCATTCCCTGCTATTTATCAAATTAGATAGGGCAAAGAGTTCAACACGCTTTTCTTTGTTTCTAACTATTTTTCCTTGTTTCTTAATACTTTACTTAGATTCTGAAAGGCATTTTCATTATTCCCATGCATTACTTTGCTTCACTTTTCTTCTACAGTACTTGATTCTCCCGCTTTCATTATGTTCTGTGGTTGTTAATTTGGCTGAAACTTCTTTCCTCATTACGACTTTCAGAAATTTCAATTTTCTCTTTCTAATTGTAAATAAGTTTTCTTGTACTTTACTTTTTTTTTTCTTTATTAATGGCTTCTTCACATATTCTTTCTGGGGCACACTTAATACTTTTCTCTAGAACCAATTTCAAGTTACTTCTGCATCTCCAACAACATTGTCCAACATCCACTGCCCTATAGGAAAACTGATATTACATAATAGTCGGACACTCTTTTCTTTGTTTCTAACGAAATATTCTTGTGTTTTACTGTTTTGTTTACTTTCTGAAAGGCATGAGGAGATTAGCCAGCTTTCACCGGACTAAGAGATTAGATATTATATAACTGTTCAGCTTTCTTTCTTTTGTTTCTAACGATATTTTCCTATCTCTTAATACGTTGTTTATTTTCTGAGGAGATTGGGCAGCACTGACTGCCATAATAGAGATTAGATATTAGATAGCAGTTCAGCAATGTTTTTTTTTGTTTTGTTTTTAGTTTCTTTTTTTTCTTTTTTTCTTTTTGTTTCTAACGCCATTTTCATCTGTAATAATATGTTCTATATTTCTTCATCTTCTTCTGTGTACCGTGTCTCTACAGCATGCGGGGAATCATGGCTCTCCACAGCTTCTTTTTTTTTACCACATCTTCCAGTTCCTCTTCTGCCATCAATTTACTCAAGGTAGGTTACTCGATGTCTCCCTGCCTTTCCTTCAATATGTTCTGTGAGTGTCACGTTCTCCAATCCTTCTTTTCTCGCTATGTAACTTTAAACGTTCAATTATCCTTTTCTGATTTTAAGTATAAGTCTCCTTAGACTTGCTCGTTACTCACATCTTCACTCCATAATATTCTTATCATCCTTCTGTAGAACCACATTCATGTTGCCTGATATTCATTTATGAGAAGATTGTCTTCTACTTAACTTTTCAGCAACCTTTTCTCTTTTTCCAATATTTTCTTTCGTCTTTGGAAGACATCTTTCGCTATTCCAATGCGATAATGGCTCTCCACAATTTCCTATCTTCTGTTGCTCTAATTAACTTTTAACATTTCAACAAACCTGTTTGTTCTAGTTTTTGTTTCTCGTAACTTCAGTATGTCTTATGAGTGTTAGATTTTCCAGGCACTCTTTCCTCATTACACGTACCTTTCTAATCCTTAGCAAATCTCTCTTTCCCGTTCGCATTCTTTTTCTCTCGCATTTCTTCGTTGCTAAAATGTTCCGTCGATCGGATTCTCCACGTTCTTCTGCCGAGCTATATAGACCTTTACTGCCAGTGACCCACCTCTTCTTTGAGGAAATTGGACAACATTCAGTCATTATGGATGATTACATAACAATATTGTTTATTGTTTTTTCCCCGCAATAAACTCTGCTCATCCCTATTCAACCACCAGTTATCCATTACATCTTAGTGGGCATTATCGCATTGCTTGGTGGGAAATGATTTTTTAAAAATTCGATCAGACGGAGATGCAGTCCAAAATTTTAAACCATATATTACAAAACAATAATTTCGTTTGAAATTGGTTCGATATGTCGTACTAGACAATTTTTCATCTCAGAATCGATCTTACATATTTATAAGTAAACCGTTCGTTCTTGCTTTGAATACTGGTGCTACATGCTTACGGTCAAACCACGCTAAAAAACCGGTTCTCGTACGATCACCGAAGTTAAGCATCGTAGAGCCAGGTCAGTACTTAGATGGGGGACCGCTTGGGAACACCTGGTACTGTAAGCCCCCAAAGTCCAACCCTTACCTCACAGTCGGTGGTGGGGGGTGTAAACGGTAGTGTCAGAGCTATGCCGCCTGGAACTTCGTTCCTGGTAGGGCCACCCAAGGCGGACAGGTCTGACACACACGCCGGCTAACAAGGGCTCTGGTGAAAATCCAAGGAGCGTCTGCATCGGTAACCGGCGGCTTCTGGTCGTTCCTGTCTCTGCGTCTGTGGGAACCCCGCGGCAAGCAAGAACGTTATCCAAGTAGGCCTGGGTACCCTACTTCTGTAATTTATCCCAAGAATCTTCTTCTCATAACAGGAAGAAGCCGGCTCAATCCGCCCAGGGTGAATGCCGCATCAGTACAGTACAGTACTGGTGCTACATCTGGCCTGGTTCCCCTGATATATATTTAGAGATTCTTGCTAAAATACAAAGAAGAATCTGCAATGATATTGGTCCTGAGCTGGCATCTCAGACTCAGTTACTTTCCTACCGACGTAATGTGGCTTCTCTCTCCATTTTCTATAAATACTTTTATGGTAATTCTTCTAGTGAGGTTTCCTCTACGGAACCGAGACTTTATGAATTTAAGCGCAGTAGTAGATTGGCAGAAAGGTCTCATCATTTTACAGTTGAAATGGCTAGATTTAACCGTTAGTTCTATGCTAACAGTGTCTCTTCTTGTACTCTCGCTTGTGGAACTCTCTTCCAGCTTCTTGATTTCCAGTCAACTTTGATCTACAAATATTTAAATACAATGTCAATTGTTATCTCATGTTTTCTTCATTCATGTCCTTTGATTGTCCTCTATGGAAAGGGGCACGGATTGAGGAATCGGAGAGCCGAATTCGAATTCCAGCCGAATCCATTACATTCACTTGCGTGATAATACCTTTGGGAAAGGTATAAATCCTCTTCTTCTACTCCCAGCTATAGGTAAATAGCTGGACAGACCGGGTACTGTAGCCTTGGATGGCAACTGGTCTACCGCAGAAAGAAATGGCAATCACCTGCGGGGAAAAATCTGCCTCGTCAGTCATATATCGAAAGATACATAATCGCCTAAACCTGTATCCTCGCATGGCACATCACTGATCTATCTCGGCCTGTTTACATCTATTTATCGATCTCAGTCTATTCACATCTATCTATCTATCTATCTATCTATCTATCTATCTATCTATCACAGTCTACTGATATCTAACTATCTATCGATCTATCGAATCCATTACATTTACTTACGTGCTAATACCAATAGGTAAGCTATGAATCCTCTTCTTCTACACCAAGGTATAGTTAAATAGCAGGACAGACCGGGTTCTATAGCCTTGGATGGCAACTAGTCTACCGCGGAAAGAAATGTCAATCTACTGCGGAGAAAAATCTGCCTCGTCAGTCATATATCGAAAGATACATAATCGCCTAAGCGTGTATCACGCATGGCACATAACTGATCTATCTATCTCCGTCTGTCTATATCTATTTATCTATCTCAGTCTATTCACATCTATCTATCTCTCTTCCAATCTATCTATCACAGTCTACTGATATCTAACTATCTATCGATCTATCGAATCCATTACATTTACTTACGTGGTATAGTTAAATAGCAGGACAGAACGGGTTCTATAGCCTTGGATGGCAACTGGTCTACCGCAGAAAGAAATGTCAATCTACTGCGGAGAAAAATCTGCCTCGTCAGTCATATATCGAAAGATACATAATCGCCTAAGCCTGTATCCTCGCATGGCACATCACTGATCTATCTATCTCGGCCTGTTTACATCTATTTATCGATCTCAGTCTATTCACATCTATCTATCTATCTATCTATCTATCTATCTATCTATCTATCTATCTATCTATCTATCTATTTCAGTCTGTTTATTATCTATCTATCTATCTATCTATCTATTTCATTACATTCACTTACGTGCTAATACGATTGGGAAAGGTATGAATTCTCTTCTTCTCCCCACCTACACCAGGTAAATAGCAGGACAGACCGGGTTCAAATGGTCAACCGCAGAAAGATGGCAACCTACTGCGAGAAAAAAATCTGCCTCGTCAGTCATGTATCGAAAGATACCAGATCGCCTAAGCCTGTATCACGCATCGCACATAACTTACGGATCCTTAATAATGTTAATCCCTATATTCTTTTGCATTCAGTTGCTCTTTGCGTCTTAGTGACTTTATTGCCTTCCTTGGGGTGAAATGATTTAAAAAATGTTGTGGATAGCATTGCTTTAACTTCAGTTCTCACTACAGTATCAGTAGCCTGTGAAAGCCTCTTGCTAACATATCGCCTTGACATTGAATGCTTCAGGTTGTATCTGCCTAAACATGGGTGTGGCAGTGAGTGGGATAGATTGCTGTATTTTCAAAATCTCCGTATGGTTCTTTACTTTGGTTCGCATTAATCAATATAGATCTGATTTCATTATTTGCGTTACAAAGTCTTGCAGATACTGCCATACATCGTTGGCTGTTCGAATATTGATTTTTCTCTCTGTGATTCGTTATTGCTAGGTCGCATTAAGATGGAGAATAAAAAGCGAAATACTGAAAGGAGAAATTTAGAATTAAGTTTGTTCACATTTCAATTCGCCTAAGATATCTAAGAAAAAAAAATATTCAAGAATTTTAACAGCATCTCAGAAAATGGATACAATACTCGTTATTTTTATTTTTAATCATTTCACCGAAAGTACGACAATAAAACCACTAAGAACGGAAGGGGTAACTGAATATTAGAGAATATGTGAAAAAAAAATGCATTATTAAGGAGAGAGAATAATAAATTAGCAGAAAATTAAAAAAAAGAGAGAAATAATGAAGCTAGAAAATAGTTCCACACACGAGGTTACCGCGATAGAAGAAAATGTTAGCATAGAATATATATATATATATATATATATATATATATATATATATATATATATATATATATATATATATATATATATAAAGAAAGAAAAAGAACAGTAAGATATATAATCCGGTGTTCTTATAGATATTTTATTTTTACAAAATAGTGCTCAATGTAAATTTTTGAAACCTGGTTAGAACTGTGTAGCGGAAAAAAAAATATTTTAAATCAATTAATTTATAATATATATATATATATATATATATATATATATATATATATATATATATATAACTATACTCGTCTGAAAAACCTTTCGAATTCTTGATTTGCCAATAATCAAATCAATCTCGAAGGAAAAAAATGGTTTTAAAAAAGAAAGAGCCAGGAACATGAAAGTCTGTCGAAAAAATCGCACAGATACGGGTTCAAAGCCCAAAGGAAAAACCTCGACATGAGTAAACAACTAACTAAAAAGAGCTCAATACAACCGTAGAGCAGACCTAGAGAGCCAGACAAACTTACCTAGGTTTCACCTAAGCGGATCGTCAGGGAAAGCTGGCCAGGGTAGGTTTGTCTGGCTCATTAGGTTTGACTATATATATATATATATATATATATATATATTGTCATCAACTGTTTCGCAGTTTATCAGTGGGGCTAGACGTCCGGTGGTTGCCTATACCTAGTTTCGAAACCCAAATGAATTGGCGTCAGTCGGGAATTCTTCTACTAAGCCCTTGGCGCGCGTCAGGGATGAAAGTGAATTTAAGCGTGGTTTGATACTATTTAAGTGGCATGGCGTGTTAAGTATTTATTTTTAGATAAACACACAGTGAATGAGAGAACTCGATTCGATTTACCGAAGAGTCTTGCATCATTAGCCGTAAGTCACTGTTTACAAACTCACATTTCCTCCCCATATATAGTTGGATTGACGTCATTAATCCAACTAAATATGGACAACAACACTCAGAAAACAGTCTGCCTGCCTGATGTGAAGGGCTTATTAGAGAAAATACGAAGGATCTGCGGTCCATATAACATCAGGACAACCTTCAAAAATTTAACGACACTTCGCAGATATCTCTCCTGAGTAAGACCCTCCCCCCATGGAGGAGAACATGACTAAAGACTGTACGCTATCCCGTGCAGCTGTGGAAAGAAATATAAAGGGGAGACAGGCCGCCCCCTTAAGGTAAGGCTTCAAGAATATCAGAAAACAGTAACACGACGGAAAGTGGAAAAATCAGGCGTAGCTGACCACATATGGAGAGAGAAGAGATCACCGCCATCTGTGGGATCAGGTTGAGATCATAGACAAGGAAAACCATTGGAAAATTCGTAAACTTAAGGAATCAACACATCCGACAGGAAACAAAAATCTCCTGAGCCGACCAAGCATAGAAATGAATACAATGTGGGAACCAGTAATAAGGAGTGCCAGAGAAAAGCGATATTAACAACAAAAATTGCAATATGAGCTCTGGTAAAACATGGAATGGTAACAGAAAAATTTACAATATGAGTATTGGTAAAAAAAAATGGTGCCTGAAGACATTTGGTTTATAATACCCAGAAATTCATACACAGATGTCCGCAAGGACACATGGCACAGTGAATAAAAGCGTTAGTTTGATGCAGTGATAGGATCCAAAGAGTGAGAGTTCAATAAGAAATAGTGGAAAACTTTCAGAGGGAAGATAACTGATAACCGACATCCATAAAACTAGAACTGTGGAACTAGAACAGTCTACCACAGTGAGCGAAATAAAGGGTTCAGGTCGACATTCCATCCACCTGATTCCGAAGTTGTTTGGAGGCCGTGGTTGAAGCTAATGGCGGTTTTATTTAATAAAATTACTCTATAGTATTTCAAGATATTTTTGGGTAATTTTGCTAAAGATATCTGTTAGAATGAGATGTCAGTGTTATTTTCATATTTGCGCAAATTAGACGGAAATTTATCCATTGCACCCTGTAGATTGGTAGCTAGCTTTCCTCTTTTTACTGTTGAAACGGCCAGATGTAACAGTAAGTTCTATGCTAACAGTTTCTTCGGAAATGTTATTCCCAGAATTCTTCTGTAGAACCATATTTCTGTTGCTACACATTTTATCCTTATCTGTGATGGAATTGTCCAGC